TACACTGCACATATGTCAGTAGCATGTCATTGTGTGGATACACTGCATGTGTCAATGGTGTGTCTTTGTGTGTGGATGCACTGCATATGTCTGTAGCATGTCTCTGTGTGGATGCACCACACATCATTCACCCACTGATTTATTGATGCACATTTCACTATTTTTATTTTGACTGTCATGAGGAAAACTACTATGAGCATTTGTATGTGGCTTTCTGTTTTTATTTCTCTTGGGTAAATACTTAGTAGGTGATATGACAATGTGCGCTTCACTTCTGAAGGAACTGCCTGATGATTTTTAAGGTGGTTGCAGTACTTGACAGTCCCTCTAGCACAGACGGTGTTTCCCATTCCTCCATGTCCGTGCCCAGACTTGCTGACTTCTTCCAGTGTAGCCATTGCAGTGGGTATAACGCAGGTCTCTGTGCTTTTAATCTGCATTGACTGGTGACACCGCCATCCTTCCATGTGTTCAGGAGCCATTGGCATCGTTTTGTGTGTGCGGTGGCGGGGGGGGGGTGTGGGATGTAAAATTTCTATTCAGACACTTTGCATATTTTAAGTGGATTTTGCCTGCTGATTAATGATGCCATGGGCATGTGTTCTGGGCACAGGTTCTTTGTCAGTTTGGGAAATGTTTCTCCAGCCTCTTTGTCTCCTCGCTTTCTTCCTTCTATGTGTTGAAGGGCAGATCTTTTGTGTTTTGATGAGGTAAAAACTGATCCAGTTTTTTTTTTTTCTTTTACGAACTTTGCTTAAGCTGTTCTGAAGCCTCACGGGTTTTCTCCTGTCTTTTATACTAAGGGATTCATTGTCTCAGCACTTAAATTTAAGTCTGTGGCCCATGGTGAGTTTATCTTCATGCGTGCTATAAGACAAATATTCAAATCCATCTTATGAAAATTCATTTGTTTTAGCGTCCTTTGTGAGAAATACTATTCTTTTTTAATGTGTGTGTGTGCGTACGTAAATACACACGAACACGCATGTGCACACGGGAACTAGCTTCATGTCATTCTCAGGACGCCCTCCACCTCCTCTGCAGTAGGATTTCTCAGTGGTCAGGAGTTCACCCAGTAGGCTAGACTAGCCAGCCAGCAAGCCCTCCTGCCCCACCTCCTCACCGGGATTACAAGTGCGTGCCCCAGGCTGGGTGTTTACACAAGGTTTCTGAAGACTGAATTCAGGTGCTCATCCTTAAAAGTAAATGTTTTAGTGGCTGAAAAAGTGGCTGGAAAAGCTATCTTTGCTTTGCCAGTGAATTGCATTGGCACTTTTATTTTGAACAAAACCATGAAGATCTTTGGACTCTGAATCTTGTTCCATCAATCTATATACCTGCTTAACCCATCAGTATCACACTGTCTGACTATAGCTTTATAAGCTTTGGATGAGAAAAATTACACACATGCACACACACACACACACACACACACAAACCTGCCCAGCCCTGTGTGCGCTCTTTAAGGAATATTTTCTTGCTGCCAGCCTTGGCAATGCAACCCTGCACAATACAGAACCCTAAGGCCCCAGGAAACGACTTGTCTAGTCCTTCTACCCCCATACCCTCAAAGATCACTCACGTGCTCAAAGAAAACGATGCAAGTCATCTTGCATATGAATATGAAAAGCAGTCTCTTCTACAGAAAAGAGCCCCTAGCAGAGCTACGAATCCATCCTCCAACTCCCAAACAGTTTCAGGATGCTTCTATATTACCTCCTGAGCTGGGCAGAACTCAGCAAAGAGCACTTGAGTCTCCGAGGGTCCATGGCTGCTGAGGGCACCAGCCATTCCTGCAGAAAGCCCTGAGCACGAGTCTGTTGGTGCTATGGATGGCCGATGACATTAATCACTCTGATTTGGGGAGTATTTCCCAGGTGCCAGGCTTCAAACATTTGCTATCCGCTGGCTCACTTCATCCCCACAATGACCCTGAGTAGCTTCTATCTTTAGGTGACACACAATGAGAGAACTGAGTCCCAGAGGGGTGAAGCAGACCAGCGGAAGCTCGCACCGCTAAGAAACGTACCTGATGGGAGAAGAAGCCCGGCTTTAGAACATGTCTCCTAACTCTGTGCCAGAGCTGTTAGATACCCGGCCATGTTCTAGTTTGGATCTGAAGGGCCCTCAAAAATATTGCAGTTAAATTATAGCCTCAAGAAAATAGAGATATTTAAAATAGACCTAATTAAAATGAATCACTGGACGGTGTTGACAGAATTTGTAAAACTTTAGCAGGTTTTATAACTTTATAAACACTACAGGAAAATATTTCTCTTACAAGCTTCTGCATCATTAACACTTTTTTCTAGGAAAGATGTAGAAAGGCTTAGTCTGCGTACGGCTATGACTATGTATGTGCTAGAGTTCAATCTGAAGGAAAACACAATTCATATGAATTTTTTGTTTTGAATTTTTGAGGGAGGGTCTCACTATGTTGACCAGGCTAGCCTCAAACTCCTGGAAACCAACCTGCCTCTACCTCCCAAGTGCTGGGGCTAAGGGCATGTGTCACCATCGCCCAGCAATGCATGAAATTTTTACAAGTTATATTGGATTTCAGTGAGCTACAGGCTGTCTTTCTCGCTATAGTTCAGTCCTTAGAGAACTGTGCCTTTGTCCTATGTCTTTCCATTCATTGTGACTCACGGGGCTGAATTTTTAACTTATTATCTTTCAGAATTGCTTGTCCACGTTCTCAGTCATATATTTACGCTACTGATGCCACTTCGTTTTTTTTTCTTGCGGTAGGATACTAAAATTTCTGTTGAAAGTTGAAAACGAAGCCAGCTAAACAGAGAGCTACACAGCAAGCCAGGAAAAGGGCTTTCTCCACCATCTCTGCTTCAGTTCCTGCCCCTGGGTTCCTGCCTGGAGTCTGCTCTGACTTCCCCCAGTGACGAAATGTGACCTAGAAATGTAAGATTGAATAAACACTTTCCTCCCCCACAACCCAAATGTGCATGTGGCAAATAAAGGCTTCCTTCTCAGCTTGGTGTTACCAGATC